ATAAATGAATTAAAAAGAGAAGAGAATATATGGGGGTAAAATTAAAAAAACTTATTAAATGCTTGAACAAAAGTGAATGTTATCTTATAAAAAAAAAACCCTTTAAGAAAGTTTAGTTTATATTTTGAGCCAAAAAGAGTATTTCACAAATTATGATTAAAAAATCATTTATAACTTTATCAAATGAGCAACTATAATTTTAGATAATCATAAATTTTATAAATGAAATTTGATAGAAGTGATTTCCATTTGGATATATTTTTATAAGTGACTTTGAGAATTATTATTATTATTATATTTAATTTTTATTTATTAAAATCATTAATGGGTGTATAATTACAGACAGGTATGAATTTCATAAAATTATTTATATTTCCATAATTATTATATTTAATAATAAATACTATTAAATATAATTTAATATATGACATGAAAATTTAAATATAATTTTTATTTTTCAATTATTATTCCTCCAGTCTTTAATATAGGACCTAATTGTTGAATTGATTTTGGTTCTAAATACAAGCTTTATTTCTCATATTTATCAGTTTTTCCTAAATTATCTTTATAGGTACTCCCTCGGTCATAATCAAGTAAAAGAAAAAGAAAGGATATTAAGAAAGATGATTATAGTATTTTAGAAAAATCATGTCATATTTCTTATAATTAACTAACTTATCTAACTTTTTTAATCTAATCAATTAGTTATATAGGTCTTATATTAAGGATCGAGGAGTATTATTTAAAATAACTTGAAAATCTATGTGTAGTATAGATATTAAATAAAAGACAAGGTGTATTAAACAAGAAATAAATGAAAATAAGCAGTATTATTAAAATATAACAGGAACTTTAATAACATAAGTAAATAAATCGAATAGATCAAAAATATAAATAAGAAATAAAACTTAAATAGCAAAAATAATTAATAAAAAAATTACTTTTTGAAACTCTACCCTTCTTCACACAGTTCGTTCGCTTTGAAGCCAGCCAAGACGATTTCACCACTTTCTGGCATGTGATCATCAACCTTGGAGCTAGTTGCAGTGCTTATCATATTGATGAGCATCCTAAACTCATCAGATTTTAACTATTGAGATCTCATTCAGAATTTAAAATTTTAATTAATTATTTTTAATAAAAAATACTTTTCGAAAAGATGATAGTTGAGATATTATCTTTATTTTATATTCTATACCTCTTAAAATAATTATCTTAAACAAATAAAAATAAAAAAATTAATTAAATCTGAACCATCTAAGTGAAATTTAGATGGTCTAAATTTGATGAGTTTAAAATGCTTATTAAAGTGATGAGCAATATAACTAGTTTCAGTGAGTTTTGTGGCCGGATACCTGGTCCTCTCTCTTCATTTCTCCGTAGTAACCATAGTGCGCCCTCAAGCAGTCGGAGCAAGGCTTCTCCTCATTATCCTAGACACCGTACGTAATGAAGCTGTTTAAAATCACAAGCCATTAATTTATCATAACTTTACCACTTGTCTAGTTCTTCGTATCCCTGTATAAAGTTGATAGAGTTATTAATATATATGTTGTGTTCATTTTAAATGAACTGCAAGTGCTTCTAACTCTGGCGCTCTCAAGGGGTTCGGCGGCGGCGGCGATAGTTTACTTGGCCCCCAATGGGAATTAGGCAACGAATTGGCTTGCCGTCTACGGTCAGTTTACTGATTTCTGTCAGGCAACAAGTGGAGCAGTGGTTTCATCCTTAGTTGCTGTGCTTCTTTTGGAATTCTTGATCATCATGTCCGCTTTTACCTTCCCAAGGAAGCACTAGACTGCACCCATAATAAGCTCGTCCTGGGGCTTGGATTGCTGGCTTAATTAATTCTTCTCGTGAAACCCCCCCCCCCCGGGTGCATTCCCAGCCTGGTCTCGTTTAAGTTCTGCAAGCTTCCTTCTGTTAACACTGATTACTTGCACTGATTTGGCAATGGAATTCATTCTGAATTCATGTAATTGTACAAGGTTTTCTTTAATCGATTTTTTCTTCGTCTCGTGACTCGTGAGGGAGTTAGATGGGTGACGTGCTAAAAGTATTGCCCAAACAGCTTCATATCAGTCGTAAAGGTGTTGTCTGACTGTGGTTATAATAATTAAAGGGAGAAAAAGGCAAAGAAATTCAACACAAAATGGAGAATATTACTCTAATTTATGCCAAGGGTGGTTGACGAACTGGTAACCACTCAACCCTGGGTTGAGGAATTTCCACAACGTCACGTGCTTAATAAATTTATGATGGTTCCCCCCATAATTTATCATTCGAACCCCCCTAATTTAATATATATTTTTTTTATTGTGCAAGGTATTAAAGATGTTAGTGACGCAAGTTGTGAATAAAACTTTATAGGTCAAACATATGTTGTATTGCGCCCTACCAACTTCAATTTGGTCATAAGGAAGAAAGGGAGTGGTACGAAATATCAAGATTAAACATGAGGTTTTAATTTTATTTATAATATTAATAAATACTAATATTCTTGATGACAAAAAAACACCTATATTATTAATATATATGTTGGGTTTTGTAATGAGTCCATGGATTAAAATAGGTCCAAGCCCATTTAGGTAAGTAAGCCTTATAATCTGCTCTGAAGCTAGAGGTGGACATGGATCACAAACTCATCCTTTGTGGGTGAGTGTATGTGTAAGAGATATATATATATATATATATATATATATCTCTCTCAAATCACATCACATTTGAGCAGCAGCAGAAGCTTGCTATGGATCATCCGAAGCTCTGTAATTTCCCAAGTCTTCTTATTTTAGAATTTTTTCCCTTTCTTAAATTTGTTGTGGTATTTTTTTTTTGGTGTATTTTTACCCCAAAAAAAATCAAAATCTTCTCTCTTTACGAGAAAGAAGAACTTCAAGGAAATTTAAGAATTTAAAGTTTGAACACTGTTTGATTTAATAAGAAGAGAAAGGAATTTTTAATTATCTTTTGTTCTGTGATATGAAAGCAGAGAGAAAAAAGGAGATTGATTTTAGTATGAAGCAGCCGAAGTGAAGTCTGAGCCAGGGTTCATGGTTGTCTCCGTCAAACGGAAATGTCTGAGGCGAAGAAATTGACGCGCAGCGAAGACGCTAGATCTCGCCGTACTCGAAAGGATGGATCCATGCCTCGACAGAATTGTGTTTCTGCGGCGCACCGATCGATCTCTTTATGACTTCGACACCAAGACGACTCCGTGTTCGTTCTTTGACTGGTTTTATTCCCTAATATTTCCCATGTGTCTATAGAACATGCTGTGATTATTGTTCTGGACCATACATCTTCACTCACCTTGTAATGCTAAGACATCAAATCCCGCGTTTTCGGTTTTGAATTCCTCTGGGGAGATGTGAGATAGTCTGCCGATAGTATTATGAGCATTTTATTATGATCCACAGTTGCGTCTTTCTTTCGTGCTGAAACTAATACACGAGATTGGAAGTCTTGTTTATTGTAGCTGGCCTCAGGAGGTGATAAATCATAAATGCTGTCTCTGGACTGGACTTTGTTTCTTCAGTATAAGTTCTCCCAAAATGATTCAAGCAGACTCAGATCATCATCGGTTGATTTTATTCAGGAATACTCGGACACCCTTTCAGTTCATAGTAAAGAACAATAGCCAACCAACAGTCGTCAGTTTGCGGCCACCTTTCAGCAGCCATTGCGAATCCAGTGGACAGAATGAATTACGAGTCACCTAATATCTGTTATATATAATTGTAGTACATCTTTGTATTTTGTTCTGTTGCTGTGATGTTAATCCACATGGTTGCAGTATAAGTTTAAAGTGCCGGGAAGCTTGAACCAAGTCATGAACTGCTACCTTATTTCCATTCCAAATGTTAGATAGCTACAACTTGTAATGCTGTTTCTACGTGAAATACTCACCTTCCTAGATGGACGTAAGACTCAAATAATATTCATCTTCCTACTTAACCGCTTTTGCTTTCTAATCTTTAACCTCACAGATAATTTAGTTTTGAAAGAACAACTGCATATAAATCGGTAACAGCGTAACGGTGACTAGTGAAATGGAAGTGGAAATATGTAGTTTGAACTTTGAAGACAAGGTCACTGTAAGGATATCACCCTGTCCTTGTAAACTTACTGTATGTTCGAATGTGTTGATTCAACATTCGACCTGTTCCGTATCTGATTTCTGCTTTATCAATTTATAATTTAAACCGCCACTTTCCATCATGGGTGATCAAGGTTTTGTACCTTGTGTATTATGCTGATGTTTTCCCTATATTGTAGTGAGATTGAGATATTTAGATTATTCTACATATTTTGATTTATGAATAAATGCCCACGAACAAAGGTATTGAAAATAACGAAAAATAAAATTGGTGAAGGTTGGAAATGGGTGAGACACGTTTGAAACAGAGATATTTAGATTATGCAGTATGCAATTCTGTGCTCATGTATTTATCATGGCTTTGACTATTGGATAGCATGAAAATGATTTAAAACCTCAAACTCCCACCTACTTTGTGGGAGGATTAAAAGTAATAATTAAAACTTATGACAGGTGACGCGACAGATGTGTTGTGTTCTGTTTGATTTCCCTTTCAGCTGGAGGCCTACCCGCATTAAAGTGACAAAAGATAGTAGATAACTAATGGTATGTGAATGTGGTTCCAATCTAGATGATCTAACGAAACACATTAAAATGGGTTCAATCTAATGAAACCCTTTCCTAATTTCTATTGTTTTTCTCCCCACGACCCTACATATTTCTGTCTAAAGCACACAATTTCTTGAACATGAGTAGAAGGATCCATTCTCCGCCTTAAAATTAGAAATGCAAAGCTGTTTGTGTGTGGAATTATACTCTACCAGGAGTTATGAGTTTGATTTTTATTTATGGGGAGGAGGGAAGGGGTTTTCCCTAGAGTACCACCCACTACTATTGTCATTTGTCAGCATTTGGAAGCCCCGTGAGGCGGCGCAAATATGGGCAGAGTTATGAGCCGCCTCGGTTTGCATTACATGAATTTATTAGCCCTCGAAAAGATGAAGAGCAGCAAATGTATTGTACTCTATAACGATGAGATGCCAGTTTCAAGCCTGAGATACCTGCCTGGGCACTTATTCGGGTGCTTTAGGACGAACTTAGGAATCTGGTTCTGCGTTAAAAATGATTGAAATGAGTTTTGAAAGACTAACTGCACATATAAATCGGTAGCAACAGTAAGTGAATAACTGCAGAGTGGCGTTTATAATGAAGGCAAAAAGAAGTGGCTCAGTGAGTGACTTGGACGCAGGAATTTCGAGCTCCAGTTTTAAAATGGAAAAGGAAAAAAAAAAAAAAAGAAATGGAATCAGCGGAGAGCACAATTATACGTACGTTTAAAGGAATGAATGAGTTGAATTGGAGGGAAGCTTCAGATTCTGGACATGCCTGACGTAATGCCATCAGCCTCTGTTCTGTTATCATGTCTACACTCTGCACACAACAAAATTGTAAAGAAGACCCACAAACGACAACGTAGCGAGGCACACGCACACCATATCCAAAGCCCCCTCTCTCCTCATCATTTTCTCTTTCCTCTCCCTCTTCCGATTACCAAACATTCCGTATCCCTCCCTACCTCTATTCTTACTCTCCCTTTTGCCCTCCAACGCCCTCTGTAAAATCAACAAACTGTCCCTCCCCTTCAAGTTCATCCCATCCATGTCCTCCATCTGCAAGCTCCCCTCCCTCACCTGCATTTCCCTTCCCTCCGCCCCTATGAGCGTCATCAACACATTACACAGCGCTAGCTCCGACGACGATCCTTTTTCTCCCCCCATGACTGACGCGAACTTCACCTCCACCTCCCCGCTCAGCCAGTGCCGTTGCACCGATACCGGCTTCTGGCTCGAAACATTCATCGCTCGCCCTCCGCTCGAGTCTATCACTATCCAGCTCAGCGTCAGCTCCTCCGCGAGCTCCCGACACCTGTCCTTATTCTCCGGATATCTCACTACTGTTTGAACCACGTCTTTCGGCTCTAGTATGTCCACGCGGAAGGGCGAGCACCTGAACCAATCGGAGACTGTTTCGGTCTCCACCACCTTGGAAAGCAAGAGTTCTCGGCGGTAATAAAGGTCGATGGCGGAGATCAGTTCCGGAGTGCGGTCGAGATTGATGTGCGAGTTTCGAGGAGTGGTCGTGATTGGCCGGGGTATAGTGGAAGAATCGGAGAAGAAAGACCGGAAACCGTGGGGGAAACTCCGGATGACGTGGTGGAGGCGTGGAGAGCTGGTGGAAGGCCACGTGGAGTGACAGAGGCTGACCCAGAGATCTTCTTGGGAGGAGAGGGCGTAGAGTTGAGAGCATGTGGCGGCAGCCGATGCGAGAGCGGAGCCGTCAAGGCGAGACAGGATGTGAGTTTGAATTATATCCGGAGGTAAGGTTGAGAAGAGGGTGGCGGCGGCGCCTCCGTCTATGGCGGTTTCTGCCATGCTTTTGGGAGTGGGAATCGTGGATGTTACGCAAGGAGAAGGAGCCATGCTCAAGAAAGGTTTTCCGTAGGTAGTGATATTTAATAGTGATTGTGAAGATAGGCTAGGCCTTGTTTGTTACATAGGATTGAGGAGTTAGCACAGGGATTGGCCCAAACCGTCCTGTTTGGTAGGAGGGTTAGGAAGTACCTTGGAATTGAGAAATGCCACGTAGGCGGGATTACCCAAACCCACCACTCCCCCTGATATTCCTGAACCTACCTTCGGGTTGAAAAATTTTGGGACAAAATTATCCTTGTTTGAACTTGAAATTGCCTTCACCGCGCCATCTCCTCTCACCTTTGTCTCTCATCTTCTCATTTTTTCATCTCCCTCTCTCAAGGTCCTTCTTACTAAACGGTCAGAAAAATATCAGCATTCATCTCACCTTCGTTCATGTCTTCAATATCCTTCTTTCCAGACAGTCAACACCATCAGCGATCTTGCAACAATGACGGCATTTGCAAATTCACCATTTTTGTGCACTAACAGTGTTTTTTTCCTGATCAAAGAGGCGATATCTGGAGATAGAAGAAGGAGGTCACCATCAACAAAAATCAAATCTAAATGAATGCAAAATGAGAGATGAAATCGAATATTGAGATTTGTGGAAAAATAAGCAAGCAATCAAATCAAAGGTGACTTGTTACTGCTAAAATATAACACCCTCAATTGAAACTGGACGACTCAAGATTTGTGAAAGTCAAGACGAAAGTGGGCAATATTGCATCTGGTTTGTTATTAGAAAAGATCGCACATGGGTTTCATTAGAAAAGATCGCATATTGGGTTTGAAATTTGGGGTTACATAGGGGTAATATAGTCTTTTACCAATTAATAACATATCATTTAACAAATTTAGTAAAACCAGTCCCTTCAAATATTACCTCACACCAAACAAAATTTTAAAAACCCATTCCCACTCCCAATCCTATGTTCACTCCCATTGCCACTCCCACTCCTAATCCCTTAAAATTCAATAACTCCTGCCAAACAGGGCCTAATGGGGCAGATTTTGGGAAAGTCACGTAGCTTGGACCTTTATATAAAGAAGGAAGTAGCTATGCCTATACATGGGCGAGGATAGAGGGGTGAAAAGTTGCTTTTCAAATGCGCCGTTCATTTTCGTTGTTTAATAGTACTTTTTTGCCCTCACACCTTCGTTGACTCCTGCATTCTTTTACTGGCCTGGTGCAGTCAAAGAAGTAATCCTAGGATCTCCGGGTGACTAATGACTGTAGCCACAAGACATAGCGTGGGTATTTCTTAGGAATTAAAATGTGACCGCTCTTGCAATTAATCCATAGACTAAACGGATTGACTCGCGACTGTGCCATATCGTCGCATGGTTTATTTGACGTTGAGATGGAAACTATCTTACACGTGTATCAAAATCAATAAAGAGAACTACAATGGAGTAAAAAAAAAAATTGTGAAACAAGTTTTGAAATTTTAATTTTTTTATTCTAAAGTTTTTAATTGTACCCTGTTTAGATTATTATTAAGATTTCTTAGTATATATTTTTTTTTGGATCTCATGTCTAGCTGTCTTATGAGTTATCAAGCTTTCCTGAAAACTATCTTACACTCAGTTCTGGTCAGTCACGTTTTTAACTGTCTTATTCATTTTTTTTTTTTATAAATTATAACCCTCCTCTCAATACTATTGAATCACAACATGATTAATATCCTCCGATTAAATTTCAATTAAGAGTGGGCAGTTGAGGGATCCAAACCCTGACAATTTAGCAGTTTTATCATTATGGCAGATTTGTGTTTGGTTTTACATTAAAAATCATTAAGAGGGTGTTTAGATATAAATAAAATCATGGTTTTAAAAATATTTTTACAGTATACAAAATAAATATATAAAAAAATTTGTCTCGATTTATCAAAAACACTTTTGAGAAGTGGTTTTGAGATGTACCAAACACCCCCCTAAAACCATTATCTCTGCTCAGAGTAGGCGGTGAAAGACTGGAGTGATGCCGTGTCAAATCGTTTTCTAGGGCGATATGTTTTCCGCAAGCGTTTATCACGTTTGGGGCCGGGTCGTGACACTTGCTGATTTTTGTTTTGTTGTTCTTTAATGCCGCTAAGCTACCAAAACGGTAATTAAAAGCGGAAGATAGACTCCTCAAGTGGCGTCATATGGCCTGTACCAGACCTGGGCGGGTTTGGGCTTATTATTCAAGAGGGCTTCAATGTCTGCGTGTGATTTTCACTTCACAACATAATTAAGCCATCACCGATTTTATTTATTTATTGGGTAAACCCAATATTTTCATCTTATTCATGGCACATTCAATATCATGAGCTTGATTAAAAAAATAAAATTTAGATAATAGATGACATTGAGAAATAATCACTTTGTTTATTTATTTATAAAAACGCTACTGTTTTTATAGGATACGTTTAATTCGTAGCTGTTCAACCAGTCCACGTGTCGCCTTCGAGTACAGAGAGGGAGTATTATGGAACCTTAAGTGATAGTCTACCACGAAGAAATTAATATGGGGTCTAGAATTGATAAACTATTTTAATTTGGCTTGATGCCTGCCTTTCATTTCTTTTTTGTAGCTGAGAACTTATTTATTTTGGTTTGGCTCGACTTATAGCTTAAAGTACTAACAAAGCCATGCTTTTCTCGTCCGCGTGTTGTTGGATGCAGAAGTCATGGCCGGCAATAAAACTGAAAATAGAAACGAATATGAAATTGCCTGTTTTGGCCTGTATATATGTCAAATTATGTCAACTAAATATGAACAAAGCAAAAAATTAAGTGGCGGGGAGGGTGAAGCAGTTAAATAAGCGTAAAGACCTTATGCAACAAAGGCCCTGTCCACTCTCATCAGTGATATATATGTATTCACTTGTTTTGTCGATCATATGGTTTGGTCAGTTGACTGTCTTTTAATTATGCATAGAGAGAGAGACAGGCGGGGTCGGGCAGCGCGCGCATGTGAAGCATTATTCTATGTAGTTAAAAGACGTCCCCCCCCCCCCCCCCAACTATTCCATTCCAGATTTTAATATTATTTTATTATGTTGTGGGAGACTAACCTCTATAACTAGACTCAAATCCTGTTGGTAAAACTTTTTTTTTTCCTTAATTCAAATATTCAATGGACCCGTCATTCTTGCGACATCTTCGTGTACTCTAAATCTTCATTCATGAGGATTCCTAAACCTTTTTTATTTTTGGTGACTAGCGTGTGTCTTCCCAACTAATTTAAGAGGGTATTTGGATGGAAAACAAATCATAGTTTTATAAATGATTTTATGAAATACAAAAAAAAATATGTGAGATGAGTTTTAGCTCGACTTATGTGAAAACATTTTCTCAAAGTGCTTCCAAACACCCATTTGGTATAAGTGAAATGAAGGGAAAGGGAGGAGAGGAAAAATTCCAGAAGTGAAGTTTTAAAATTTTAATGAAAAGAATATATAACATAAAAAAAAAATTCAATTATGAATTCATTAAAAAAAAATTTCTCTTTTCCTTCTTTTCATTTCTCTTATACCAAACGGATCCTAAGCCTAACTCAACCCAAAGGCAACTTATATTGGGCCTTTGACCCAAGCATCTTAACCCGTGATCGTTGCAGACGGTGGGGTTATTCGGCAACCTCAGACAAGGCGGAGCGATTGAACTCAACAGTCGCAATTTGGCGCCCCGAAATGAAAGTGAGGGTAGTGTGCAGGAAAATTTACGATTACATGCGCTATGATCTCAAAGAAATTGCTTTCCCTTCCTCCTTGCCCGATCCTCCTCATCTTGTTAAAAAGCGTCGCAAGATGACCTGGGATGAGCGCATTTGGGTAATCTATTTCCCCCCTCCAATTTTTTTCCTTTGGCTTCTACGTTGTTTTGCCGCCGCTGGTTTTGGCATTGATTCTGGGTTCTCAATTTTCCTCCGAACTATTCATGATTCCCAAAATCAGTGAGGCTAGGCTTTTTCTCACTCCCAGGTTATTCGCCTGCTCTAATTGCAACTTGAGCATTCTAGTGTCCGCACTCTTTATTTGTGCATTTGTTTATTTTCTCTGTTTTGCCACATTTCTAAGCATCATGTTGGACTTTAAGGAGGTTAACATGATTTCCTATGTTTTTACCGATGTTTTTAGTGAATAAAGTGCGATTTTAAGATGCTGAATTTTAGTTAATTGACATTTTGATACATGGTCGACAAGTTTCATAGCTGCAATACACCTATTATTTTCATTCCTTAGGTATTGAAGAAAGCGGTTAGGCTTTACGCTGCTAGCTGGGTTCGGGACATCGGTCCTGATCTTCGGCCACATGAATATAAGAAAGACGAATTGACTGAAGAAGCCAATAAAGGAAAGAAAACTCCTCAACAAACGGAACCCTCTGTCCTGGAGGATCTTGGTATAATCTCTCTCTAAATTGAGATCAATATTGTCATGTTGTTTGAGTTGTCGGTTGATCACAAAAAGTCAAGAATATTAAGAGTGAATGTACAATGTATGTTACCCTCAGTCCTGGAGGCGCATGTAATAGTTAGGAATTAATGGTTATTTATTATTTGTCTTCCAACATTTCAGCATTTTGAGGAGAAAAAATACTTTGTTTTTTAAGTGGTGAAAGAACCTTCTTTCGATTTTTTTCCCCTTGGACAATGATGAGAAGGCAACTAATCCTGAAGAAGTCGTGGCACAAAAAAATAGCATCGTTTTTAAAACTGCATAGAACTCTCTGTTCTTGCTGTTCATGTTGCTCCATGCATTTGAGTTCAATTTGTTGCGATGGCTGGTTTAGTTTAAGAATTCCCTTTTTGCTTGTTTTTCTATATCATTATTTTAGCTCTCCTATGAATTGTTTTCACCATTTTTTCAATGGTAAATAAATAGCTGTGGCTGCCAGAGGAGGAATGGAGACTCTTAGACCTGCGTTACAGCGCATATACATGACCAGAGCTTCTGCGTATAGAGATGCTCTCAAAAATTTTATAGAAGGGTACCAAGAGGGAGTTCAACGAGTAATGGAGAAGAAGGAAGGTGCTAAACCTGAAGATGCCATTCAGCAAGTGATGGAGAACAAAGAAGATTCTAAACCTGAAGATGCCAAAGTAACCAAAAAATCAGCTTGAACTTTTTTATAGGTGGCTAGGTGTTAATTCTTCTCCGGCACATATTTAGTCTGAGGTACTCAACTTTGCAGAAATTAGGGGCAACCCCCTTGAGTTCAAGGGTTTTATTGTACATTACGCTGAATAGACCCTTTTTTACACGCGCGCGCGCGCGCGCAAGTATATCGACTGGATTCTCTGGTGTTTTATATTATCTATTGTGAATGCTGTTTGGATAGTGGCTGACCATATGGGCCCTGTAATAGTTTCACAACACTGCAAAACTATACAAGGAACAATTCTTAGCTGGCGCGGAGTAAAACAGAAACGGGAAAAAGAATTGAGAATGAGAAAAGTTTACTGCCGTAGATATAACACTAGCATGTTATAACATTTTGCGATCAATCAATCATACAATATTTTTCTATACCTTTTCACCTTTCTTCAAATTATTTCTTCACGCACCATGCATGCCATTAATTTAATTGTTTGAGAAAAGTAAACCAAGACGAAGGTTCTTGTAAACGGGACTATTCCGAGCCGTTCAAAAGCTTGGTAACATCGGTGGTCAGTTCTGTGTATCAGCAGAAGCCAACTTGGTTCTGCAACCGGAGGCCTCTTCCCACCCTATCTCCGCACGATGGATAGAAGATAATTACCGACACGAATTCGTTCTTTCAACTGTTGGCACTGCACGTTTTTTTCCTTGCCCGTGCCCGATTTGAAAGGACCTTCTTAAAGATGAAATGTGACTCGCAAACTTTCATCTGACGCTTTCTAGACAGGGGACTATTGTTTCAATCCAATGTAGTATGGTATTGCATGTGGCCAGTTTGTTTGGCTATAGGTGACCTAATTTGCGAGACAGCATCGTCTATAATGGGATGCCATCTTTTCCTGTGAAAACATGTATATGGCAGACAAATTCAGTGATGAGAAGGTAGGTTGAACAGTTGTTTGATTTCATCGTGGAGCCTGAAATGACTGAAAATGATTCGCACCAGATGAAAGACCAGACAGAGATTAAGGCCCCAACAAACCATTTGACGCTTCAACTTTTGGTTGATGAGACTGCTGAATTGGCCCAGTCCATATAATAAAGCTCGCACTTACATTACTGGTTTAAATTGTTGGGGTATAGAATCTTACAAGTTTAGGAAAGCGCCTAAATTCTCGACGTGTTTATGTGTCATTGATAACCCACGGGTTTGTTCCCATTCTTTCCCAAGCATCAGTTTTGGATTATCACTACCATGTCATGGAAGAAGTGAAACTTTGTTGACAGCACATATCTGATGCTCTTATGGGATGAGAGTTAATTGGGCATGCTGAATCTTGTCCCTTTCGGACTTGTGGCAAAAATCCCCATATGAAAATATGCAGATAATAGCTACATTATGAGTAATCAATCTAGTTCTTATGTAACTTGGATTCGTTTGCTTTCTGTGATTGGAAGGGGAATGGTGGGGAAAAAAACACATGGAATTCACAACTTGACACTTTTTACGTGGATTGTAAAGGAGAGGGAGGGCCGGACTCGCTGATGGTTTGTGTAGTCACATGGTTTTTCCCTATTATTCTTCCCTTTTCATGTCAGCAGTGTGTTCCACTCATACATAATTGCATTACCCCTGCAGCTCCGATCCATTATTTTCTCCAACTTAAAATGTAAGACTAATCTTGTAATCTAATTTATACTATAAAATGGGTTTACATTTAACACCATAATAATATATTAATATACATGTATCAGTTTTTTTAAAATTTTAAATCTTTGATTAGCCGTTATCTTTTTTTTTTTTAACTACAGAAAAGTTTAGATGAATTGAGTTCTGAAAGCTTATCAAGGTCAGGACATGCCAACAAGGTCATCATATTAGCAGTGAGATTTGAATTCACAGTCTTATAGATTATGAGTCGATTAATTATAACAAACTCTTGTTGGTACTGTTATCTTTTTTCATTGTTCAACAACAAACACCACGTAATTGTCGACCCGCTCACCACTTGGAGAGCGAGCCCCCCGGAACATTGAACGCCTGATAAAGGCGACCCCGGTGGGCCTTTCGCGTAAATCCTTATGGGCCCCCTTATTATCAAAACCTTGTTTTTTTTAAAACAAAAAAATTTCTGCCATTATGAAAAATTTTGTTCAACTCTAGCGCCTAACTTGTTTGAAAATTGAGTCCATCAGGCAGCTTTGAATCCAGCCACACTTTGAACACTAGCTTGTGATCGCATCAGCCTAGGCTGCTCAACTGCGTAGTACTGAGTCGTCAGAAGCTGGATCACAGTGTTCTTTAATCATTTTTTCCTCTGTGGAGGAGAGCGGATAAGTACTTGTACTGGTGCGTATTTACAATTTTAGTGCGATGAATCATTGATCATCAAAAGCTACTTCATTGACGAGTCACGTTCTGTTTCCGCAACCCCTTGCTGTCGTTTCCACAAGCACTTGGTCGTACTCACCATAAAGGTTGAACTCGCAGCACACTCTTGCTTTATGTCCATCTTCCCCTGATAAATAAAACCTTGGTGTGGTCGCACGCGAAGCTGGGAATTTTTCATACCGCGTCTGGGTCACTTCCACCCGAAGTTTAATGGTTCGCTTGAGATATGAAATGAAAAGTTGAAATGACTCACAAAAGGGGTCCAGAAGCCGAAGCGATCGTCGCCTGAGTTTGCTTCTGACAGTTTCGGCCTTTGCATGACTTTGCTAATATTATTATAGGACACTATGGAGTTCGTGAGGACTGACGAGAAGCCGTGGATCCAAGGATTTGTGGACAAGACAATTCAACGTGGCAAGTGACAACCTTATACTGTGTCACTATTTTCCACTTGCTTTAAGCTCGTCTTTTTTCTATGTAGCTTTTGATCTCCTTTCTCTTCTTTCCCATTTGTGATTAAACATTTCATCTGGCCGGTAATAATGTCACAGTCTGTATAGAAATCCGCCCCCTCCCTCCTTCTCCCTCCAATTGTTTAGTGGCCTTGTTTGTTTATAGCGTGCAGATGCATAAAATCTTGCAAAAAGTCTACGGAGGACACATATATTGCTCATTCACTCCTTTAGTGGGGACCAAAGGCTTTGTGTTGACGTGCTTGTGTTGAGTTTCTTCTTGGGGGTTCCCATCTGCTTAATTTTCATCCACATGTTAAATTGCTGATGACAAATAAAGATAAACAGATAACCAACTTCCTTGTCATTACCATCACCATCATCACATGTGAATTCAGGGACCAGAAAATAATTAGCTTTGTTTCGTGTTCATACTGCTGATACCAACAAAAAAAAATATGAATAATATATATAAAGCCTTATTTCAAAGCAAAGAACTTTTTCGTTTTTTATACTCTTCTAATCATTAATATAAGATCTATTTAATTAATTTGATTAGATTAAAGAAGCTATGTAAGTTACTTAATTTTAAAACATGACATATTTTTTCTAAAACACTATAATCATTTTCTTTAATATCTCTTCCCTCTCTTCTACTTAATTATAATTAAGGGAGTATTCATATGGGTAATTAAAAAAAAATATTAAATATGAGAAATAGGTCTTATATGTAAAACTAAAATCAATTCAATAATTATGTCATATATTAAGAATCGGAGGAGTATTTCTTATAAGTTCAAAAATAGATATTAAGAATCCGAGATTACAAACCAGACCAAACTAGCTATAACCTCCTGCATACAGAGGTTTTGTATCACACTACAAAGCCTCTAAAGCAAAAATCTTTTAATTAAATATTGATCATATTCACCTCAAATTTTATGCTCATTCAGCTCGCCGGGGGGGAATGCAATATTGTTGAGGAGGCTTTGTGTGAGCATGGATTTTACCCATTGAAATTGCTGTAGCGGCACAGAAAACCGTAACACGTCCAGCCACCCACCCCCACCCACTCAACCACGCCATTTGGCTTTAGAACACACACCATGACTCTGCACCATACCCCTCCACATATACTATGATGAGCCCTTTAGAAAAATCTCCAGGCAGAATCTCAACAGTAGTTCATTCAGATTCCTCCTTTCTCATCTTCAAGGACCTAAATTCTCCCTTCGCCCCTTGCTTATGTCAGCTGGCTCCCTCCACGGGTCCCACTTCTCTCACTCCTACATTCCATCCTCCTTCTTCGTCGGGTTCCTTTCTTACTAAGCATTACTTGTTCATCACTCCTGCCACTTGGGCTTCAAAGTTGGTATGAAAATCAGGGATGGTTTTACTTCTTTCTTTTTTATAATCATTTTACTCTCTCTCTCTCTCTCATTCGCGGAGTTTGAGGAAGGAAGCCGACAAATAGGTTAAATAGGTCAATTCCGGATGTCACATCCACAGATCTTTATCCTCGGCGATTGCTTATCTGGTTGACATCCTGCTGTAATTATACAGGCTCTGCATCTCCAAGCATTCAATTAATTACCCACCAAGTCACCCACCTTTTTTTTTGAGTTTTAAATCAACAGACAAACAAAGTATCCGTAAATTATGATTCCTTCAGCTGGCTCATGAGTTAAAAACTCTTAACAGGTGCAGAAATTCGTAACTCTTCTTCCATGAAATCAGTACTGTGATCATCATGCAAAGGTTTGAAGAAGAGGGTATCCTGAAAAGTGAACCTCTGATGCTCCACGCATTCCTACACGTATTCAGCAGAGGTCGGAACTACCCATACAATTGTGAATCAGAAGAACACAGTGTGATGGATTTTTTCCCATTGGTTCATTCATCCATGACGAAACATGTCATTGTCAGGGATGTTTCAATTCCATCGGAGCTGCTCCAGAATGATCTGAAGTGGCACTGACACCTTAATGGAAAGAAGCCAAACTTCGTTGACTCGTACGTTTTATTACTGCTTGCGTTTTTGGTTCAGGTTATTATTGACCGAATTCAAAGGAACTAATTATATAAGGGTGATGATGATGTTCACAAGAGCGTTAAGCTAAGGCCCACAAACAGAGAGTTCTATACAGTTCAATCTTGTCATCCCTGTAAAGCCAGTGACGTGTCTATTATTTGGCTCAGTGGACAAAATGTTCAGAGTAGGTAAAGGGGGAAAAAACTGAGATGGGTAGATTACACAAATTCCCAGGCTAAATATAAAACTGTCCAAAAGCAAATAAAACTACAGTCAGCTCACAAGGAAACAGCTTCCTATCTAATAATAACGATCAAAACGATGATGTGGTCAATATAACCGAGAGATAAAGAAGGTGAGAAGGAATAGAAAAAATCAGTAATAATTACAATAGAGAGGGAGAGAAAGAGAGAAAAGTGATAAAAGAATGAAGGTAATAAAGTGAAGGTAAAAAGAAACAAACAGTGTTTCCTGATCATATATGGTTAAAAGACGAAACGAAATTTGTATGGGTGCGAGAGAGTTTTGCCAATTTTTCAACGAGTAGTGGAATCAAAGAAAGGAAGACCACATGTGGTGAAGGGTGACTATAGCACACATGGCATGAATGAATAAGTGGAGGTAGATGCTAATATATAGTTCCAATACAAAAAAATGGAGGATCCTCATGAAGTCTCAGTTTCAATTTATTTTATTCTTATATTATTATTATATTCCCTTTCCTCCCTTGATACCAAGGGCCAGAACTGCATTGGGAACATGTTCCTGTGGCATTCATGGTCTAGTTGATAATTGATATGCCCCATCCAAAGGGAACAACGAAATCCCACAAAACGAATAAACTAGTTCCTTAAATTAAGACAAGAAACAGATATAATATTATATATATGTAATATTATAAAATAATTTGTTTGATTAATAAGAATAATCGATATCAGCAAAACAACTCTCATTATAATTAAATATGATAAGTGCCTTCTTTACATCTGAGTTCTGAAGAAAACAACAAGAAGGGAGTCCTTAATGCAAGAGGTGGCCACGGCCACGGCCACGGCAGGGCATGTCTAGCTAGGAGTGTGGTTGTTGACGTACCATGTGATTGGAATAATAAGAAGCAGATTGATGATGATTGTAACGGCCATGGAAGTGGTGGTGTGGGATGGCTGGACCCTGCGATGACGTCGATGACAAGTACGAGTATTCGGGTCCGGAGGATCCGGATTCGTCTGGTTGACATTCCATGTTCACACCGAACAGCCTCAGTATCCTCGAGCTGGAGTTGTTTCCCGCCGGTGATGTCGTTTTGTTCTGCTCTGCTTCTTCCAAACCTACGCCTGTAACATTACACCACGTGCGTCAGAGGGTTTTACAATATATACATATATCCTTCGCCTCATTCTTTCATAACAAAAAGTATATAGTCAATCTACATGTCAATGCTTTGTTTTTGTGAATCGGAGGTGATTCCTTTTCTTTTTTTTCCCCTCATTACTTGGTTCATTCAAAACGAATTTGGAGCGTGTTTGCTTCCCGATGCAGCGTACGATGCACAAGACCAGATTGCTGGGCGATCTGATCGTATAAACATAAAACCCAGACCACATTTCTCCCAGTTCACAGGAAGATGCCGGTCACACTCGCGTACTTCCATGAGGCTCAAATTATTTTATCTACAATCTACATGTCCTTTTAATTTAGGCGACAGCATTTACTCTTATCGATTTTCACCTCGAGAAAGAAGACAAACAGAGGGCATATTCCGCACTGGGAGAAAAAGAAAAAGATAGGGTTGATAGAGAAAGCGATGAGGTTAGAGAGAGAGAGAGAGAGGGAGACCTGCATGAAGACAGTCAGGTTGGTATGGCAAGGTTTGATGATGATGCGGAGGATAAGGATGTGGAGCATAGAAACTTCTGGTCCAACCCACGCCAACATTGTTATTATTGATATTGATATTGCCGTTGGCGTCAGTAGTGGTGGTGGTAGGTGTATTGTGAACGAGCACCGCTCTGCTAACATGCGCGGGGGTGGACCCAGACTGGTGGCGGCGCCTCCAGTTGATGAAGAGGCGGTTGGAGTCGGTGCGGTGGCGCTGGAAGTAAACGACATCGCCAGCATCGAGACGCTTGTCCTTGACGTAACGACTCCAGCCTTTGGTCAGCACGTAGCTCTGACTGCTGTTCCAGTACGAGTAACGGAACCTCCAGCACTTTCCTGCCTCGTCCTCGAAACTCAGCGACACACCCCTGCTCTCTCCGGCCGCCTCCCCTCCCGCCCCCAACGGGAAGTACTTCTCCGCGTGCTGCTTCGGAATCACCAGCCGGTTCAGCTTCCCCACGTCACTCGGCGTCAATGGCTTCTCGAACATCCCTTCCTTCTCGTCTTCGCCTCCTGAGCCTCCTTGGGACGTGGGCGTATCGTTTCCCACGAGACCAGTCCGCTGGTGTTGAATACTGTCTTCATCGTCGTCTTCGTCGTCGTCGTCATCGTTGTTATTGAGGTTGAAGCGGGTGGGAGGTGGAGGATGGTAGAGATAGGAAGGCCAGGCCGAAGGAGAGGGGTTTTGTAAGGGCTGCATAAGAAAGCCTTGATGATGATGGCGATGTTGTTCGGTCCACCACAGCGTGGCCTCTGGAATGTCCGATGAGTGGTGATTTATGGACATTCTTATTTGATGCTTCAGTGGAAGATGGTGGCAGAGAAATTGAGGATTTGAGGAGGCACGCTAACACAGAAACTGTGGGGAAGAGGGAAGAGGGGATCGGAGCAAGACAGAGAGAAACAAGTGTTATGATTATGGGTTTGATGTGCAAAAGCAAAACTGTGAGAACAATTCGATGGAGCCACCTCAGATATGACAATGAGAGGAGGGGAGGGGGAGTGAGAATATGTAAGTACGAGAGGCCTTTAAAGGTTACAGTGATACTTTTTTTTTTTCCTGAATTCTTTTATGAAATATAATTTCTGTTTAAATTTGGCACTAGTATAATAGATTAATAGTATTCCGTACGCGCGTTGTTTACCGTCAAATATCTGTAGGTGTGTGTTTGTGTGTGTGTGTGTGTGTGTATATATATATATATTCTATAATAGATGGATGGATGGATGGGTCCGCAAAAGGGTGCGGATGGATTGATGGATTCTGTTATTATTTTTATTTGTTTCCTTTTTGATTTTTCACTGGCAGGAGGCGCAAGTAGATAACAGTAGAAAAAGGTTGAATGAATACTGAATTGGGCCGAACATGTATGTTAGGGGATGCGGAGGGAAAGAAAAAGAGGTGAATTATTTGGTGTAATTAGGGACATCCCATGTTGCAAAATTCGCAAACAAATCAAGTGGTGGGGCCCTCCTCCCTCCTCCGACTCAGTAATCACCTTATACGCCCCCCCTTTCGTTTCTATCCCCACAGCCGGCCTAACCCTCTGCCGCTTTGCTTCCCAAGTTCATTCCCATTTTCTCACTCTCAATTCACCCTTTCCTCACCAAAATTCTCAATTCAATTACCTCAATGCCCATTGCCCAGCAGCGCAGAGCCAGTCTTTTACGCGGGTAGAGAGTTGAATATTTAAAGTGGTGTGTAATTACAGGGTGCCGTGGGGAGAGGCGGTTGAGTAATATTTTAAGAGAAAACTCAAACAGTGGGCACGTAGCTAGGGAGAAGCAGAGGAGAGAGTGGTCCATGCTTGGCATTGTATATATGAGCATGACATATATAGACGCAATTCAGGTCCCTCCAAGTTGTATTTATATTATCTTGAGGGATGAGAGAATATATAGTTTCAAAGTCACGTGCATGGCAGCAATACTAATACTGGGGGTAGGCCCATTCCTAGTTCAATTAATGGGGATAGGCGAGTTAAAATATCCGAACACCCCACAGATGCTCTCTTCCCTTTCCAATGAGCAGCCAGGGAGATGGGATAAGATTTGTCCCATTGCAGAATTGGCTAACTCCTTCCTCAGCACTCGTGTTTCAATCACCTCCGCGCACACACCCTCTCTCTATTTGTTTACTTATCTGATTCTTTGGCTATCTTATTTAATTCTGTTCATATAGCTGTATCCCCTGTCCTGTTCATATTGGTTTATTGTTTTTAAGTTAGGATTATGTCTTGTTGTATGAATCAGACACGAACCCCACCTCTATTTCCAGGTAGATTCAGACTCCCTTCTCGGCCCTGCAAATGGTTCATCTGTAGTTTGTTTAAGTTCATGTTGGGAACATACACTCACTCATAATTGTAGAGGGTTTTCAGTTTTCCTTCCTTATTGTCATGTTCTAATACAGACAAAATTTGTGTGTCATCTTACACCAGGTATTTGCTTTCTCCATCATGAGTCATTACCATTTCAAACATCAACAAGACGGTCCCATTGAAGCAAAACCACAAACACATGGAATGCAATTAATGCCAAACCCCGCGCAATTCACACAAGAAAATTTGAGACACACAAGTAATTTCATTCTGCAAAACGACGAGCCTCTGATCTTACCTGTGAATTCCCCAAAACCTGAGGGTTTCTATTGCTCGCTGAAAGGTGTTGCTTGGCCCGTTGCAGGAATCCTTGGCCACGAAGAAAGAACAACGCTTCATTCATTGCGAGAAAATTGCCATATACTAGTAGTTTATTTCAGGGGAAAGCGAATAGGACAAATACAGAGAGTGACAGAACGACACGAATTTTATATATTTTCTACATCTGGGTGTTCCTCATTCCCCAAGTAAAATCCCCAAC